CTGGGTTTCCGCTGGTACGCAGCAGGCACACCAAAACGAGGTTTCCTTCCCTGGGCTGCCCTGTGCCCCTCTTACTTGCCCTTCGCCCCAGATCCTCACAGTGTCAAATGGCCAGTCTTTTTTCAGAAGCAAGCACACTCCAGATTTGGAGAGAGGTTAATGGAGCTAGAACAGTGGCCACCAGGTGGTTTTCATTCCTAGAAAATTTGGAAGGGCGATGCTGATCTCATTGCTTATGGCTATGAGTCCAATCGGTAAACGGTTCCTGAGTGCTCAGAAGAGAAAAAAGAAATAGTTTCAACGGATGGTCCACATTGGACCTTACCCAGAAACTGGAGGAGTGGGAGGGTCACATACAGAGGGAGCATCTTTGAATCACTGGGCCCAGTACTAGTTTCCATCCGCTCCCCTTTCCTCAAGCAGAGAAACTAACCTGTGGGCAGAGGCCCAACTACCCTCTGACCTTGTACAAGTATCACAGCTCATTGCACATCAGTTTTCTCTGTTGTGCAGCGGAGTGGTGAGGAGTCGAGGTTCTGTGGCAAAGTTCAGGGCACAGTGCCTGGGACGTAGTAAGCCCCCAGTAGTACGTGTGAGCTCCTGTTATTTAGGTGTCTGTTATGTGCCAAGCCCAGTGGTAGGTATTTTACCAAGTCATTTCGACCCTCACAACAGTCTTGGGAAATCGACCTTGTTAGTTCCATCTGAGGAGATGGTGGCACAGGGCTGAAGCCCGTGTTCAAGGTGAAGCAGGAGTGAAGGTGCCAGAAGCAAACCAGTGGGCTTGATTACAAAGCTGGTGCCATCGCTGTGGTTTCCAGAGTAAACAGTGTTTGAGCAGGCATCTCTGTGTAATGGGACCGGAGCCACTGGGCTGAACAACTCCCTGCTCCACACGGTACAGAGTAATTCATATCCACTGAGTAAACAGACCATTCTGGGCAAGAGTTCCCTTGTGTCAACCCCCTGTTCTAGGAATTTTCAGTATATACATTGGAACCCAACCAAAAATTCAATGTGAGGCTGATCTTTCTTGAGATCCCTCCCAAGGGGCTCAGCTAATAATAAACTGCAAGGACCTTCCCATGAGGTGCTTTCACCCCTGGGACTTACCCTTGACATCTCCCAAGGGATGACTTTTAAAACGGCTCTGACATTCCTCAGTCCCCAAGTCTGCAGGGAGTTCAAAGGCCACAGTTGCCCCATCCTGTGGGCTCCCTGCTTTGACTCGCCCCTCCTTGCCCCCTTGCCTGAATTAGATATCCTCTGTGTTCCCAGAGCACTCGTGCAATTGCCTGTTAGAGCAGCTGGCACACTCCCTTTGCCCACGTTCTTGCCTCTCTTCCCACCCAGTTGAGTGCCGAACAGTATGTCCTGCTCACCGGGTAGTCCCAGAAATTGTCACACTTTGCAGAGCAGTAACAGTAACCACGGTATTATCATAGTTGACATTTACTGGGTGCTTTCTACGTGCATTTTTAAGTGGGTGCTGTTGTGAGCCTCACTTTAAAGGTAAGGAAACCGAAACACAAAAATGCTCTATTTCTAAAGTCACAAAACCATAAGTAGGAGAGCTGGATCTGAACCCGGGCAGCTTGATTCTAGACCCGTGCTTCTAACCAATTTTCTGATGTTTCCATGCAGTAGATGCTTTATTATCTGATATTTGCAAATGAATACACACGTGGGTATAATTGCTGTATTTTGAGAAATATGGTATGACCCATTCCTGAAATCTGTGCAGTAACGAGCTGTGTGACAGTGGAGCTCTTCTGCACTGTCTGTATTTGCTCTGCAGTTCTTTACCTCTGCACGTTTGCTCAGGGGAGGCAGCACAGAGCCACGCTTGCGAACACGGCTTAGATGAAAATGCAAGTTCTGGCTCTGCCGCTGACCAGCATCACTTTGGTGGGCACTTGGCGTGTTCTTGGTGTCATTTTCCTCAACCGGAAATGGGAGGAATAACGGTGCCTACCTCATACAGTAAACTTAAATGAAATAATAGTATAAAGGGAATAATATGTCACCATTTTGAAACACAGTCATTCAACAAACATGAGCAGGTTTAGTTATTGTTCTCACTGTTGTCACAACAAACGTTTGTTTTTAAAACTTTATTATCCAGAGCACTACTTCCTATCCATGGACAGGGAGTTCTGAGGCAGGGTGATACCGAGTGATACTGCTTCATTCTCAAGTCGAAAGTCACCAAACTCTGGACAGTGTTTTGATCCACGAATTCTAGAGGCCTGCAAAGCATTGCAGATCTGATGGAGTCTTCATCCATTACACACATCTTTGTCCCGTAGTTTGCACTGGGAGGTTTCAGTAGCCTGGGCAGAGAAGGGAACCGGGGATGTCCACTGTCTGTACCAGCCTTCTGATTCCAGGAGGTCACACAGGTGCAGTGACAGCTGTGTAACAAAGGCTGTATGACAGAGACCAAATACCTCACATCCAACGAGTGTTGCCATGTATTGTACGTTTGGCAATGAACTTCACACATGGCAGAGAGTCATTTATTCATTCAGCAGTGTTTAGTGAACCAGGCAGTGTTCTACGGGGAAAGTCCTAGATATTAGGTTTTTTATACTTCACGTGTAGTATCTCCATCAACAGAGGAGTCACACTGCGGTGCAGATCTTACCGTTCCCATTTGACAGATGCGGGAGCTGAGGCTCGGGGGTTTGACACTGCACCTCAGAGCTGCCAGTGGTGAACCTAGGATGCAAGCCCAGTTCTTCCCAATGCTAAAGTCCACTCTTTAGCCACAATATGGTACTGCCTGTCAAGGAAATAGCAAATGCTGGAATCCTGTGCTTGCACGTGCACATGCACCCGTGTGTGTTGGGGGAGGTAGAGGTGTTAGTTCAGAAATCTAAGTGGCTGTCATCATGACATAGCAATAATTGTGATCAATTTGCAAACTGCAGGAAACTGGTTGTGGCTTCTCATCTTGAGCTCAGTCTATCGTTTCACTGCTTACAGTCAAAATCAATGTGTCCTTGGCTGCCCTCAACAGAGAATCTGCGTGCTCAGGTTAATAAGCAGTGGAAACTCTGAGACCCAGTGGTTCATTCACAGGCATGCCTGCTGGGTGCCCTCCAGAGCCTGGACGTGGCCAGTGGGCACCACGCCCATTGAGATGTGGTCTGAGCCCAGGGACCTCGGGCTCAAATGTCAGTGACTCTGCACAGAAAGAGTGAAACGCACCTCTCTGTGCAGGGCTGTGGGGTTTGGGGCCCGGGGCCTGTCGGCCTTTTGCATGCCTGTGCCCCATGGACTGGGAGGGAAGTTTCAGAAGCAGCATTTCAAATGCCACTGAAAAGGGGGAGGCCGGAGGGCAGTTGGACACTGCAGTGGAGCATAAAGAGCCCAAGAGTAATGCTCTGCTCTTGGTCGGGATCTTGGTGGCCTCATTCTGTTTCCAGGGGATGCTGCTGTTTCTAGGCAGCACAGCCACTGCTTAGCTTCACAGGGCTGCGCACTCGGTCTGTCATTTCCAAAGCTGTCCCACGGCACTCTGATCCCACTGGCACACCCTCACAATGCTGGGACAGTGCAGTCAGGCGGGAAGGACGTTGCACTGGGACAGCAGAGGACCCGGATTCGGGCCCTGGCTCTGCCCCAGCTGGCGGAGGGGCTTGGACAAGTGCCTTCACTCCTGGGCTTTCCTTTCTTTACCCAAAAAGCAAACGGGGTGGAACTGGACCATTGTGTTTCCTGTGATTTCTTCCGGCTCTGAAATCGTGTGTTTGTTAAATGAGTATTTGCAGTCTTAATATGTCCTTTTTATTCTAACATCCTGTCTTGAAAGCCGTGTTTTCTGCTCCTTAAGTACAGCGTTCTTTCTATTGCTTCAGCGCCCATGGGGCTGGTCCTTACCATTGGCACTTACTGTTATTTTAATGAATGGCTGTACCAGGAAATCGTGGGTGAAGGAAACTACCGTCACATGCTGGTGTTGCTCCCAGAGTGCGATTAATCGATTTCTAACTATTGCTGCTGCTGATATAATTATATGCTCTGTTTTCTAAACATTTGGAAGAGTGTACATTGGGATTTATAGCCACCTTTCTTTAATAATGAAATTCTCATATTAATAATATTCGCTTATTTTAATGATGACGTCCTATTATATTATAGGTCTCACAGTAGCTTATTCACCCAGTCCCTTAGTCTTACACATCGGTCCACTCAAGTTTTTCCATATTATAATTATAATTTATTTAAAAAATAAAATGTATTGGTTTTGTAACAGGAAGAATGTTTCTGATACATAAGGCCGATCCCATGACACTGTCGCCCCGCCTGTGCAAGGGAAGTGGTGCTAGGACGTGGGGTGGGGGGGGGCATGAGGTGCTGAGTACGGGGCAGCCTTCAGTCCCCACGCGCAGAGACGCGGTCACCATCAGTTATGCTGCTGTTTCCCTAAGTCCAAAGCAATGCTCCTTTTCTTTCTTGAACAGAAGCAGGAGAAAGCGTGGGGCCAGGTCCTTACAGGAAGAGGATCCAGCCAGAGGTGGGAGGCCTGGGTTGAAGCCCCTTCTGCTCTCTGGCCCCAGACCAAGAGCCGACACTTCTGGACCTTGCTTTATTTTTCTGTGCATGAGAATATCAGTGCAGTCGCTAGCACTGCCTGCCCATTCATCTCTGGCTTGGAAGATAGAAATGGGAGGTTGTGAGCATAAAATGAAATCATAGGTAAAAAGTTAATTTGAATCATTAAAGTACATGTCACACAGCATTGAGTGGAAATACGGTGTCACAGGTTTCCGTGTGTCGTTCACCTCTGGAGCTGAACGTATCTAGACTTAACTGCTTTTGGAGAAACTCTTACCTCACACACGACCACTATGAAGAGGGAGCGAAAGCAGTAATTCGACCCTCGGCTTTTTTCATGCCTTTTATTTTTAATGTTTGCCAGATGTAGACTGGCAGGGAGCCCAGAGGGTCAACACCTTCTCATAGATGGAGTTTTGTTCTCGACTCCCTTCTAGATAAAGAATTCTTAAAGGAAAAGGAGAAGTTGGAAATGGAGTTAGCGGCAGTGCGGACTGCAAGCGAGGACCACCGGAGACACATTGAAATCCTGGACCAGGCTCTGAGCAATGCCCAGGCCCGGGTCATCAAGCTGGAAGAGGAGGTGAGATGGGGTGGGAGGGATCGGGGTGGGGGAGGCAGAGCCCTGAGGGCCTCCATTTCCTTTTTCTAACCAAGCATCTATAACCAGAGCCAACTGCAAGGAGCTAAGTCGGGGAGGGATAGAGGAGACCTCCCAAATAAAAATTAATAAAAACAGAGTTGATCCAACCCAGAGCCAGGCAAGTATGAAAGGCATAAATGAATACCTTCAGCAAAGGGGTCACTCCTGTTATAGACAGCTCTGCCTGGTTCTAGGAATTGAATCTCTAGCCCTTGTGGCTAAGGTCGAGGGATGACCTTTAGAATGGAGCTGCAGGAGACAGAGCTTGTCTCTGGTAGCAAACCCTGCCTCAGTTTCCTCTCCCTGCCCCCAAAGCTTGGTCGGAAGTCAATGACGGGTAAGACCCCTCATGGGGGGGGGCAACCTAAGCCAGACTTGCTCCCTTGGGAGGCCTTCATGGAAGGACTTGGGGGGGCTGCAACAAAGAGGGAGCAGTAGACTCTCACCCCCCCGGCTTTGACATAGTCTGAGTCCCCATGTTCTCTGGGAGAAGCACTTTCTGGCTCTAATCCCCTTAAGCCTGAATACCTGATGGGGAGGGGTGCAGCTCCTTGCCTTGCTAGAGCGTGTCCTGGGGAAAAATCTGGCATCACAAAGACTTCTTGATAAACCTGTGAAATCTCTGGTAAGAGTGTTTTCATTCATGTGTTAAGGGTTTGAGCAGGAAACCCTAAAACTCTGTTCCTGACAGACTCTGACTCATAGTAAGCCCTCAGATGTCTTTGAAATGTTACCTACTGTTTGATCCTTGCCGCCCTGTATTCCTCTGTATTAGAACCCAATAAAAGGCTCTGGAGGAGGGGGCTTGAGGCCTTTTTCCCCTGAGTAACTAACTGGCCACTGCCTACAGCCTTTTTCCTCTGGGAAAATGGCCACCTCTCCTCCCCACGCAGATCACACCATGTCTCTGTCATGCTTGCTCTCATCCGTGGCACATGGCGGGGGACTTGCGAGGAAAGTCGCCCCCACACTCCCCTCAAACCAGCCCGCAGCCCATTGGTTGGGAAGTGTCCAGGGCTAGCGATAAGTGGAAGGACTTAGAGAAAAGAGACTAACATTTTTTAAAAACTATTCAATAGCCCGGCTGGTGTAGCTCAGTGGATTGAGCGTGGGCCTACGAACCGAACCGAACAACCGCAGTTTGATTTCCAGTCAGGGCACGTGCCTGGGTTGCAGGCCAGTTCCCAGCAGGGGACTCGCGAGAGGCAACCATACATTGATATTTCTCTCCCTCTCTCCTTCCCTTCCCCTCTAAAGATAAACAAATAAAATCTTTTAAAAATAAAAAAAATTATTATTCAATAGCTTCATCTTTGGACTCTTGATTGCATTAAAAAGGCAAAAGTCCTCTGATAGGGGTGGGGTAGGGTGGCCTTTGACACACCTGTGTCCAGTTTTTGGACATTGGCTCAGCCATGCAATGACCTGCTGCTGCTCAACCCCACGTACAGGAAAGTTTGGTCCCACTCGAGCATTAGGGACTAGTAGTTCCTGATAAAATTGACTATTTAAATTGTTTCATAAGGTAGACCTTTCCTTGAAGCCTGACTGTGGAAGTAGAAAGATGGCTTCTGAGGTCAAAGCCAGGGGATTCAGGCTGCGGACAGTGTCAGAAAGGGAGGGCAGGTCTAGATGAGTAGGCAGAAGCCTCGAGTCTGGGAGGCGCACGACCCAGGTGGTCTACACAGAGTGCTCCGCGTGGTGCCTGATAGGCAGTGAAAAGAGAATTGTTATCAGTCCAGCTGTTGCTGCAATTGTTGAACATCCAAAGCTCTTCCTTCAGTGATGCCAGGTAACTCAGTGTCTCAGCAAATCTCAGCTTCAAGATCAAAGCAGCTAAAGGGGAAGATTGTTAGGTCTGCAAGGGTCTTGTCCATTAGAAGCTGTTTAAACCCCATAAGTCTTATGTAGGAACTGCAGTTTTAGAGCTAGTACAGTCTGAGGAATCTGAGGGCAACAACCCCGGAGTATCTTTTCTGTCACCCCTGAGGAACTCATTACACAGGAAAACGTGTGCCACAGAAAGTGACCTTTGCCCTGGCTCAGTGGATTGAGCACTGGCCTGCGAACCAAAGGCTCACTGGTTTGGTTCCCGTTGAGGGCACAGGCCTGGGTTGCAGGCCAGACCCCTGGTTGGGGGAATGCAAGAGGCAACCACACATCGATGTTTCTCTCCCTCTCTCTCACTTCCTTTCCCTCTCTCAAAATAAATAAGTCTTGAAAAAGAAAGTGACCTTAGCCCCTGAAGGATGGGGGCCTACTATGAGGACAGGATCCCTTACTATTTTGATAACCGAAATCACTTACTGAGGCCTCTTCTCCATGCGTAGATGGAAGGAAAATAAGAAATGTTTTCATCTTTTTGTTTCAGTATTTCTATGGAAGAAAAAGTTGCGAACCCCTTGAAGACAGGTTTTTTATAATTACCATCGTGGATCTTTTCTTGGTGTTCTATTGATGTAGGGTCTTTGATTGTGTGCAGCCTTTCCAAAATGTCCCCTGTGTCTGGCTTCCTGGCTTCTATTCGAGTTTCTTTTGCTGAAGGGCCCTTTTCAGGCCACATGGCTTGTTTAGTGTGATTACCACCACCTCCCAAGACAGCTTAGCCTCGGAGCCAGAATATTGTGAGTTAGAATCGTGACCCCAGGGTGGGTGCATCGGCTCTCTGACCTTGAGCAGTCACTTAACCTCTTTAGTCCACAGTTTTCTCATCTCTTAAATGGAGATAATAAAGCAGTTTGCCTTTTACTATTATTGGGAGGATTAATTGAGATACTACATATAAAGCACAAAGAAAGCTTAATAACATGGTGGTGCTTCAGAAATGTTGGGTGATAGAATTATTGTTATTAATCATCATCATAATATATTCTTTGCTAAGCTTAAGGCTGATAAAAAGGTAAATGAGAGAGATCCATGCCTTCAAGAATCTTGCAGCTGGTTAGGGATAATAGGAATTCATTCACTTAACAAGTGTTTATTGAGCACCTACTCAGTAAATGCCAGATACTGCTCCAGGCATTGGGGACACCCTGTGCACTGCCCAACAGGGACCAAGACAGACCAGTCTCGTGGCGTTTATATTCTAGTGGCTACACACTTAGACAGTTACATACAATCTAGGGTGTATCAATTGTATGTGAATGGTACTCACAAAACACTTGATCAGGTGAGACTTTTTGAATAGGAACCTGCAGTTAGTAGGTCCTCAAGTGCCTATTAAGTTAAATCAAGCAATCAAAAATACAGTGAATGAAAGAGCCAGATGAAAATTGATCCCAGTAGCAGGTATAAAGGCTATAAAGCTGCTGTTTTTTCCACCCTCCCACCCCTCCCTTTTCACTCCGGTGGCTTTGGCTAGGACACAGGCACAGCTCACAGCAGTGCGGCCTGCTCGGTCAGAACTGCCCTTCACAGCAAGCTCCCCAATGACTAGCATGTGCCTGCCTGCCGGTGCAGTCATGGCCGAACCCAGGATCTGAGTCACCTGCATGGCAGCCACACACCCAGATGCAGAATGACAGGAAATAGCATCCAATATCTTCTCACTCGGGACCAGAGAGGTATGTGCCTCAGCCTAATTTTGGGCAACAGCCAGTTCCCAGAAAAGTAGAAGTGCACCAGGGACTCATGATCGTGGCATAGACTCCTGACTGAAAAAGCACAAAAGTCTGAGGGTGAGAACTTGAAGTTGATCATCAGGATTCTCAGTCCACACTGGATGTGACATTGACACAGATTTTGTTCCTTAACTTCCATCCTGATGATTGTGTTGAGTGTTCTTTTATGGCCTTCCTGCTCCTTCAGGGCTGAGAGCTACTTGTCTATAAAGACTCTTAAATCTTCAGAAGAAAGTTACTCTCCAAATATCTAGAATAAGAAATGTGTGTATTTATTCACACGTACACATGGGCACACATGACATACACACACAATTCTCTGTATAAGGTAATTTATAATTATTGTGGAAATTTTAAAAAACACAGAAGAGAATAAAGAAAATGAGACATTACTGTTCAGCCATGCTAGTCAATATGGTTAATGGTTTTAAGTATTTCCTTTCAGTCTTTTTTTTCTTTATAAATAGACAGAGTTGTGACAGTGTTGCATATAATTTTTTATTCTGGACTTCTCAGTTAACATTATAAAGGAAGCATTTCCTCATAACATCAGAAACTCTTAATCCTGTTTCCAACACCAACAAATGCTGTAATTACTCAGCAGTAACTAAGGGCTGAGCTCAGAGCTGCACAAATGGTTGAAGGCAGGTGCCCCAGTAGGGTCTTCAATTCCAGGCACCCCAGCCACGTGCGATGTAACCAGTGGCCGCCTCTGAACCTTTTCCGTCCCCGCACACACGAGCAATTGGGGTGGGAAGTAGACGCACTGGTAGTTTAGGTCAGGTCTCTAACCCCCTCCTCCACCCCATTGTTGAGAATCGCTCTTCTACATGCTGTGCTCCTTTTTCCTCTCCTCTGCTCAGTTACGAGAGAAGCAAGCCTATGTTGAGAAAGTTGAGAAGCTGCAGCAGGCCCTGACCCAGCTGCAGTCTGCCTGTGAGAAGCGAGAGCAGATGGAGCGGAGACTTCGGACCTGGCTGGAGAGAGAGCTGGACGCCCTGAGAACCCAGCAGGTGGGGGAGGAGGGGAGGGGATGACAGACAGTGGAATGCGCATATTCTCGGGCAAACCGTTCTGGAGCAGAGCCCCTGCTGTGGCCCAGACTCTGCCCTCTGCACTGAGGATGCAGAGGAAAAGAACTCCTGGTGGTAGTGAACCAACGCAGTGGCCAGTGAAGGAGCCAGGCAGTCCCCTCACAGGGGTGACAAACGTCCTTGCAGAAAGTGGCAACCCTGGGGACTGGGCATAGGGGAATGTGGCTGTAGACGGCTTCACAGAGCAGGACATTTGAGTTGGACTTTGAAAGATGAGTTTGTTGGGGGTTCCCCGGGTGAGAACATCAGAGATAGAGGAGGAGCATGTGGAAAGGAGAGGCATGCTGAGGTGCATCTGGTTCAGGACGCCTGCGTGCAGCCCACAGCCGGGAGACAGCCCGGTGGGTCGCTGGTGAGGAGGGGAAGGCCAGTTTGTGGAAAGCATTTGGTCGAGGTGAGAGGTTGGACTTGTTCCTGTAACCAACAGAGCCAACAACAGGGAGTTTGTAAGCTGGAGAGGACTGTGGTACAAGGATTGGGGACAGCCCTCTGGTGGTGGCGGGAGGGCCGGGGGTCAGGTGGTGCAGAGAGGAGGCCAGCAGACAGCTGTTGGTGCCATCCAGGCTGAATCCACAGGGGAGCTGGTGAGGGGTGATACTAGTAGGACGTGACCGGCAGTGCGGATGCAGAGGTAAAGGAGAGGAAGGAGTTCAGGACTGTCCCAGTGTTACAGGAAAACGAAGCAACCAGACACCGAGGGATTCTGGAGTACGAGGTTTATTGTTTAACGTGCACGGGCCCAGAGGAGTCATTTCCAAATTCTGAGCCCCGAACAAAGGATTCTTGGGGAATATATAGATTAGGGGTCTTCCTGTCTACGTGACAAACGTGGGATACAGAAACAGAATGTGATAATTGTTCTATCAGCGGGGGTGCCAGTTCCAGTTCTCACTATCCGGCCACCCACCCTCCCAGACGGCCCCATCATTCTCTCTAGGGCGCCTGGGGCCTGGGCAAATAAAGGTTAAACAGAGGTTTTTCAGTTTCCCATATCATTCCCCCCTTTTATGCTAAACACCAGAAGTACAATGTTGTCCCGAAGCTTCTGCCTCGCCTCCCTTATCCTTGTAACAGGCGTTAATGTAACTCAGGTACAAGTAAGCACAGAGTGAAAAACACTCACCGCAGCGTCCGTGCACCTCGGCGAGGGGACAAGCCCCGCAGGGCGGCCCTGTGGCTGGACTGGGATCCATACGGGCCGGTCAGACTCCGGGCTCCAGAGAGCACTCAGGCCAGGGTGGTGGGCAAAGCCCTCTCTGCAGCTAACGAAGGGGGGTGAGCGGTACATTGGGAACCAGGGAATGCAGGGCAGCTCCATGGAAGTGTCTGCTGGATAGGGCATAGTGGTTGTGGTTGAAACCCTTGAGAGCACTTGAAAGCGTGCACTCAGGCCAGGCCAGCCCCTCCTCCTGGCAGGCACCCACAGTTCTGGGTGTGTGCTCGGGGAAGGTGTTAGTGACATTGTCCAGAACATTAAGAAGCCCGCCCGGCCTCTCACCGTCTTGGCGTGGCTGACGGTGAGTCCGTCCCCGCACTTCTGCTCCTCCCGCCCCGTGCCACACGCCCCGGCACTGCGGTAGCTTCTCAGCCGTTCTCTGTGGTGCAGCTGCTGGGATTCTAACCTCCCCGACTGCAGGGCAGGCTTCTCTGATGCTGGGACCGTGTTGGCACTGGGGCTGCTTACAGACCCTTGGCTGACGAAAGGGGCACATGTCAGTACTTTGAGAGAAAAAAAATGTTTCCAGTTACTGTGTCACCCACACCCTCAGTGGGATTACTTATCTCTGGACTTTCTATTCTGAGTCAGTGAAACCAGACTCAACTCCATTACTGCTGCTGTGTACCAAGAAGAAATGTGAAGTTAGAATTCTGTGAAAAATATCCCTGCTGCCACGGAGGGCCAGCACACTCCCACCGGTATTCCTCGGACTGCAGATTCAGGCCTACCTGCACGGACGGGAGTTCCAGAATGAAGGCTCTCCAAGGAAGTGGCTCTGCCTGCATTTTGGGTTGAGTCTGGGGGGCTGATAGCAGACCCCCAGCTGTTCGTGGCTGACATGAGACCAAAGGGAGGGGGTGCAATCTTCAGAGTAAAACAGAACTTCATTTAACTCAGCATTTCTTTTTTTTAATAATTTTATTTATTTATTTTTAATTTTATTTATTTATCTTTAGAAGGGAAGGGAAGGAGAGAGGGAGAGAAACATCAATGTATGGTTGCTTCTCGTGCATCCCCTGCTGGGACCTGGCCTGCAACCCAGGCATGTTGCCTGACTGGGAATCGAACCATGATCTTTTGGTTTGCAGGCCTGTGCTCAATCCACTGAGCTACACCAGCCAGGGCCTAACTCAGCATTTCTGTAAAAATAATATTATAGTTTTTTAAATGAGCTTATTAATTTGTCTTTTATGATACAAAAGAATTTCCTAGTTGTGTTTGCCTACTTATTAAAAAGATGACTGTTACTTTTTGCTTTTTCTTTAACACTTGTGTACCATTTTACCAGTTCATAGGGCAGTGAGCCAGCACAGTGAGCATGCAGCAGTCTATGACCCCAAAAGGCAGAATCTTAATACAAATATATCCACTCAAAAGCCTTGAGTTTCTTACGAGCTCCATGTGGTACATATTATAAAGTTTGGTCAGACTCCTGCCTTTATGCTTCAGGGTTGAAGTTCATGCACTTGCTTAATGAGTCTTATGGCCTGAAGGAGGTGCTCGTGAAGACCTGTCAGGGCCGTGTGAGGGGCCAGAAGGGTTCTGCGGAAATGAGTGGGCTGAGGTGGCCACGTGGGGCTTTAGATAGAAACTGACCCGCACAGAGGGCAGCTTAGTAAGGCTGTGGGGTCTTTTCCTTGGGACGTTTCTAAGCCCCGGGGAGCTTGTTGTCTTGAAGGACTTGCTGTCCTCCTGCATGAGGCCAGGTGCCTGGCTGGGGAGGGGTCGTAACCTCCTGCAGAGATCAGTGAGGACAGTTACGTGCCTGCACTCTGCCCTTGCTTAAATATTGGTCACTGGTGATATCCTAGAATAATCTGTATTCGTAGCTTTAAAAAATTGAACGCAGGCATATGGTTTACAAAAGCCCATGGGTCCATTTGCTCTTTTTTCTCTGGTAAGATTAGAGTCCGTTAGGGCAGCTCGAACGCCCAGCTGTTGCCCTAGATCATCGACATGGTTCAGGGTGAAGCGCTCAGGTACCTCTCGTCTTGCAACCAGAATATGTGATCCCAGAAAAACATGAGGGCGCATGGAGCAGCTGGGGTGGAATCACTGCCCCCTGAAGTCACAACCTCATCAAAACCCCATCGCCCTCGAAGGCATGCTGTTCAGAGGAAGGAGCCTGCCTGAGTTGAAAAGGAAAACGTCCGAAGTGGGAAGGAACATCCTCAACTCCTGAGCAGCCCAGACGATAGAACTGCTTTATTTCCCATCATACGGACACGAAGGAAAGAAACGGCTGGACTGGCAGTAGAGGATTTTTGTAGCACTTTACATTGTTTAGCCCTTTAACATTTATTAAATGCCTTCATGTGCATTATCGTATTTGATCCTCAGGCTTCTAGGTGGGGCAGGTATTAATTCCTGTGGTTCCCAGATGAGAGCATCGCAGCTGGGGGAGCGTGCGTGTTAGGTTCTCTGGCCTGTACATGTTATCTCCAGCCTTGGGGAAAACAAACACCTGGAATCACTTCCTTGAGGTCTACAGAAAGTGCCCTGGGCCAGGAGGCCAAGACTTAGGTCCTGTTCTTGCTTATGTATAAATTAACTGCAGGACATTGGACAAGCCACTTGTTGTCATGCAGAGCTGTATGGACCCCCAGACCCAGGTTTGAATCTGACCCTACGGCTGATTAGCTGAGAGACATGGAACAGTTCATTTAACCTCTCAGAAGCTTAGTTTTCTAAAACCGGGATTATATTTTCTATTTACATGATAAAGTTCCGTGACTACTGAATGAGATAGAACACTTTGGTAGGTGGGGTATCTTGCTGTTAGGCTCTGCTAAGTTTGGTCGTCCACACTGGGGAGGGAGGAAGTGTGATTGACGGGAGTGTGTGAGTGTGCCGAGGATCTGCACGGGCCGTGATTGCTCCACGTGGGCAGCCGTGCAGACACGGTTTGTGTGGTCTGCTGTATAGCCTCGTTTCAGCATCAAGGTGTTATTTCTCCTGCTTCTCCAGAAACATGGAAACAGCCCGCTGGCCAGCATGCCAGAATACAATGCCCCGGCCCTGATGGAACTCGTGAGGGAGAAGGAAGAGCGGATCCTGGCCCTGGAGGCCGACATGACCAAGTGGGAGCAGAAGTATCTGGAGGAGAGCACCATCCGGCACTTCGCCATGAACGCCGCGGCCACTGCGGCCGCCGAGAGGTGAGACCAGCTGCGCATCCAGCAGAGGGGCTCCGTTCAGTTATGTGACGTACAGGTACATCGTGGAATACCACAGGGTCTTCAAGAGCGATGGGAAGGCCCACTTCACATTCATTTTTTAGTAGTGGGTGCATGTCAGAATAGTTAAGCCTCATAACAGCCCTGAGAGGAGGAACTGTTGTTATCTCCATTGTGCAGTGAAGAAATAAGGCTTAGAGAGCAGCACCGTTGATTCCAGTTCACACTGCCGCCACGAGTCAAAGTGAGGTTTCTCTGACGTCCAGCTGACTTCACTTGGCCTGAAATGGTTTTCTTCTGCCATCAGTTATTACCTCTGTTGCTTTCTTTCCTCTTTGTAGGGGCACAATCTCATTCTTTCTTTCAAAATTAGCCCAGAGTGTTCAGTAATTCACAAAATAATTCTGTGAAACCCTCCTCTTGCCTGAGTGAGCAGCGAGTTCCCTTGATTGCTGGAGCTCACCTGCACGCGTGACGGCCAGGCCCGGCCTGCACGTGTGACCCTGCACTGCTTGAGTGGCTGTGCGTTCTCCCATCAGGTCTCTCAATGCCTCTCCCCCCACTCCACCTTCCACCAGTTTGCTTTTGGTCCATAAGTTGTATGGGGCATTTAATTCACAGTTGTTTGGAATTCACTAAAATTTAGGGTCAGTATATTTGGAGGAGATCCTCAAATTTCAAAGTTGCATCCATAAAACTGGGCTAGTTAGTCCCACGTTTCTTGGGATGTGTTTTTTCTTCTTTCATGAAGAAGAGAAGGCCCATTGGGGCAGAGGAGGGATACTTTGAGAGCCATTCATGGGCTCTCATGTTCGTTACTCAGGTAGAGAAATGTCACTAGCAGTACGCTCAGGTGTTGCCTCCAGGAACTGGGAGAGAGAGCGGCCACCCACGTGGGCATAGATGCCCCCACTGGATGCCCCCGCACACCACACCTGGAGAGAACTACAGACTCCTGTGGAAAATGACCATTTGAGGATCATTGTCTAGTGCTGGACTGTTGTCTGTGCTTTGGGGAGAAACACCCACAATATCCCATCCAAGCCAGCCTTGGGGAGTGGGAACGTCTATTGTGTGTGGGGACGTGTGTTGTGTGTGGAAGCTGCAGTCATGATACGAGAGTCGGAGGAAGTCACAGCCTCCAGTGCAGTCTTGGTACTGGCTGGGTGGGACATTGAAACTCTTGGGAATATTTCTTGATATTTATATAACTGGTCATCTTCAGCTTCTTGCTTTGTAAGGTAGTGAGTAAATCTCCTCTCTATCCTGAGGAAGAGAACAAACCACCACACAGTCACAAAGGGACTTGGGCCGTCAGAGGAACCTGTGACTGGTAGGAGAGAACACTGCGCAGGTAGGCGGGACGCCACACGTGAGGCTTCCCCAGCTGTTGCCGACCATCCGTGTGTGACCCTGCAACAGCCTTTCTGAGTGTCACTTAACTTCATTCTGAAGTGGGAATTGAAATTCTTGGCTGGTTACAAGCAGAGAACCAGACCCTGTTCCACTGGCTGAGGACACAGAAGCCCCATTAGCAATGTCAGTGTGTCATGTTGGAAGCACGACCAAGGGGCCTCTGTCATTGTTGCCTCCACAACTATCGATTTATCAGATTAGATGCATGTTTGGGGCCTGGGGCCTGAGAACAAATGGGACTAGAGGGTAAAATCAGAAGTTGGGGCTCTACCCCCAGGGCCTGCCCCAACTCCCACCACCCCCTCGCCCACCATGATGAGAATAAGTCTATCAAGACATGATCTGCTTGGGGGGGAGAGGTGGCCGATCTCTCAGAGGAGAAGGACCAGCAGCCTGTTTCTCAATGGGCTTTTATTGGGTTCATTTTGCATAGGAATACAGGGCACGGAAGTAAAGCTCATCGATCATTATCAGGCAGTAACGCTCAAACAATAGATAATATTCTAAGAACTATGTGGGCTTATTCGGAGTCAGATAGTTAAAGGGCCATAAAACTTTGGAGAACAAACTCACTTCACTTCCTGCTTGGACCCTTATCATTTAAATTGAGGGTATTAGTAAAGTAGGTTTCACAGGATTTTATGTATTCTTTCTTAGGCCTGATGCCCTCAGGGAACCCACCCCTTTCCAGCACAGGGCCCCACCCACCTCTGGGCCTTGTTTCTGGTGTTAGGTAGGGGCAGTAAGGCAGCCAAGAGATTAGGAAGGAGACTTTTCGCAGACAGAATGAGGACTCAGGCTATGTCAAAAGTGAGGGGTAAGGGTCTATCACCCTCTTTTTCTATAGCCGCCCCCAAGTCTTTCCCCGAGGGCCCCTTCATGACCTTGCCTGTCTTAGGTCATCCCTGCTTTAAGGAATCTTACCTGTCATTGGCTAACCAGTCATGTGCCCAGGGCCAAGCAAGGTGAACTGAATGGGGTGGCACCCCTACAATGAAGATAAGCTTTGTCTCCTAATCGGCTTACGGTCCCAAGGTCGCTCACTCAGCCTTAGCCATGGGACGGTTACAGCTTCTGAAACCAGGCAGGGCAGTTCCCAACTTGGGGCAATGAATAGGTGTGAAGCATGAGACTTGTATGGGGGCACAGGAGTGGGGTGGTGGGGGCGTGAGTAGAACCGGACGACCCAGCCGCCATCAGCTCCTCACATGGTGCCAGCCCGGCCCTGTTCGTCATCTTCCGTGCGAGGGCAAATGCCCCCACAGAGAACAGGACGGACGGAACGCGGCCCTTCCCACCTCTCTTGCCCTCCGCCCTTCTTTGCTTCCACATGTGCTTATGGAGCATCTAATAATTCTGTGGAAATACTGACCTCCTCCTTACTGACCACTCCTTGCCACAGTCTTGAGAAAAATCAGGTTTTTAGCTCCAATCTTAATGCTGTTTTCAAAGAAAACCTCCGTAATTTCAGTATTGCTTCTCTGTTGAAAGGAAGATTTTTGAGAATGGTAAAAATTAGTATTTCCAGTCATTAGTTTTGTGTTTTTCAGCCACCGATGAATACTTCCCACTTATAAGTAATGATTTTTAAAGAAAATGATTTTTGTGTACCAGCTGATTTTTGCCTTCCCGATGCATCTTGGCACCATGGATCAGAATTTTGAGAGATTGGCCTTGTTTTATGGTTTTGAAGCTTTTTACAGATTTCAGAGCAATGTAATTATTTTTTGAGTCTTATGTACTTGCCTTCTAAGTTGTTTTTGTTTGATTGTGCCTGCTGCCCTTACTTGGCAGTAAACATGAATTTTTAAATCTGTTTCTGGATCTGAATGAATTCTCCAAAAGTAAATTGGTTGAATATGTTTCTCCAGCCACTAATTCTGTGTCGATGTTTCTTGTGCACAACAGAGTGGACTTATGTTTTTGCCAGCACGTTTAAAGCACTTTGCTTCTTTTCCACATTACTGAGATTTTCATGATTTATTTTGAGCCACTGTTTGCACTTAAGCCACATTCCCATGTGTGCCTGCTCTGTGGGTTCACTTTATCTGCGTGCATCTCTGCCGCGGCCTTCTTCATAAAACACAGGCGACGTCTGGCGTGTATGGTGACGGTTAAGGGCATGTGGGGAAGTCAGTACACACCTGGGTGTGAATTCCTCGCCACCTTCCCACACCGGGTGTTCCTGCAAAGCCGCCTGCAGGACGGGGGTGGCAACACCTGCCGCACGTGCTGCTCTGAGAATTAAATGAGATGCCAGTGTGACGTGCTTTCCCCAGTGCACGGCAGGAGGGAAATGCCTGTTCGTTGGCAGCTGTTGTTAAAAAAGATTAAAACGGGGGCTCTTTTTTTTTTTGCTGTTTCTGAGTGTTCTAGAAGAGAGATGTTAAATGTTAAATATGACTGTAGCAGTGGATTATGCATTTAAGAGACGTGAACTATTTGGCCAAACTCGAGGGTGTCCAGCCTGTGGACTGCATGAGGCTCAGGATGGCTATGAATGCTGCTCAACATAAAATCGTAAATTTACTTAAAACCCTTTTTTTTGCTCAGCAATTTTTGTTAGTGTTTGTGTATTTAATGTGTAGCCCAAGACAACTCTTATTCTTCTAGTGTGGCCCACAGGTGCCAAAAGGTTGGACGCCACTGGCCGCTAGATCATTTCTCATTCATTTAGCACTCACTGATCGGAGAGACATTACTGCGCCTTTCAGTCAAAGATATACATAGACCATGCAGGGGACACAGCTCTCTCATTTTCACCAGCCATCGTTTACCGGGGGGATTACATTGCTGAAACCAGTGGCGGGAATAGTTCTCTCTGACCAGCTGCATTCTCTCAGACACCTGCTTCCAGCTCCACCACTTCAGCCTACCTGTGTCCGCCCCTCCCTTCCTGCGCCCCCCGGCCTGGACTGTGCAAGCACAGGGGGTGTGTCTTCTCCATCTCTCTGCTGTGCGACCAGCGTGGCTGCCACGCCACGTGGACCCGAATCCTGGGCAGGGGCCTGTAAAACAAGCAGTGAGCTAGAATGCAAACAGGGTGGAAGATTTCGGCTTCAGCCTCTGTCTGTTCAAGAGGACCAGTACAGTTTTAAGTCTATTCTGAGTCTTCGTTTCACTGTAAAATTACTGAAATAGCTGCTCTGCGGATGAGGAGTAGAAATAAAAGTTCAGCTGACTGAGAAAGTCGGAAGGGATAAGGAAGGGCGAAAGATACACACTCACAAATATAACAGTAGTACCCATATCTCAGTAAACGCACAGCATCCATGTTCATAGTGTGCTACACAGCTTAACATACAGAGTTGTTAGGAGAAGGGGCAGGGAGTTTTATTTTAGGATTTTATTTTGTTTTCCTTAGGCACCGTCATAATTCTGTCAAGTTGAGGGAGAGAACTGTCTGGGACTTAGGAGGGGGTGAGGGAGTGAAGGGGTTTGTGGGGAAACGTCTTCAGTGTGGTGTCCTCGGGCGCCTCCTCGTGAGCGTTTGCGTCACGCCCGCGTGTCCTGTGTTGCCAGGGACACCACGATCATCAACCACTCGAGGAGCGGCAGCTACGGCGAGGGCTCGCTGGAGGCTCACATCTGGCAGGAGGAGGAGGAGGTGGTGCAGGCCACCAGGAGGTGTCAGGACATGGAGTACACGTAAGGGACAGCTGTGCGCACGGCCGTGACACTGGGCCCCACTCTGATCACTCAGCTCTAGACCCCAGTGACCGACGTTGGTGCCCACATGCCAGCCCCGTCCTGCTCGGGACAGCTGACAGGGTCAGCCGGTTACTCTCCATATTGGGAAAAGAACTCAAGTGTTTTCCAATTCTTGTTTTTGGCCATCATGGGAAAAATTATCTTCTCCATTGTTTTTTTCAGAAAGTAGGGAAATTAACCTCCTTGGAAAGCTGACCCTGTGTGAGGCTTCATATTCATAGTTCCCGCGTTTCCTGCTGCTCCTTCCCTGCACCCCGGTCCCTGAGCTGGTCCCTGAGCTGGTCCCTGAGCTGGTCCCTGAGCATGCTGTGGTCCAGGGGCCCTGTTAGGCGGCCACGGTCATTCTAACCTTCATCCTCGGGTTCCTAGAAGCCCCAGAGCCTCCTAAGGGACCAGAGAAGGTGTACCCTTTTGATCTAGTTCAAAAGATCCATCTTACACGGTTTGCAGATTATAAATGTTTGAAGACTTGACTGCAATTCACTCTCCATCCTCAATTACAATTCAAGTCCCTGGGGCAGCCTGAGAGCAATGCTTCGAGTTTTTCTACGCTTTTGTTTATGACTGTTCTATTTTGTTTTGTTACACAGCATTAAAAACCTCCATGCCAAGATCATAGAGAAGGACGCCATGATCAAGGTCCTTCAGCAGCGATCCCGTAAAGATGCCGGGAAGACGGACGCCTCGAGCCTGCGGCCAGCCCGCTCCGTCCCTTCCATTGCCGCAGCCACTGGGACCCACTCCCGCCAGACCTCGCTCACCAGCAGCCAGTTAGCTGAGGAGAAGAAGGAGGAGAGGACCTGGAAGGGAAGCATAGGTGAGCCCCGCGCCTCCTTCAGCCTCGCGTCTGGAAAGCAAGAGCCACGCCAGCAGTGAGAGGCAACCTTGTCTGGCGCAAAGAGCCACGACACTTCTGTGGTGTCGGGCTCTGTCCCTCACGGGAACAGAAATGCCACTGAGTACTTCCACGTCTCAGTTCACCCATCTGTGAAATGGGGAGGAGAATCAGCTCCCCTTTGGCTGTGGAAGTTAAAGGGCTCTGTGGGAGCAGCGGCTCCACCACGAGATCGGCATTAGCCACGGGGTGACTCATGCAGTTACTAGCATGACTGTTGAAAGCTGAGGCAACTGACCCTTACAACGTAAAATGTTCCCGTGGGAAAAGCCCTTAGAAGTCAGGCCCCTGAACTTGGCCCTGCCCCAGACCAGTTGTGAGACTGCTCCACCTCGGCTTCTGTACCTAGAGAAGCAGGGCAGTGTCTGCCCTGTTATCCCAGGGGCTCTGGTGAGGGCACACTGGGATACTGGGGAGGGAGCACTTTGGGAGAAGCATGCTAAAACAGAAGAGGTTGGTGGTCATTGTTCTTTTTGTCTTGTTGCACAGGCAGAATTTTAAGAATTCTGCAGATGTGGTATTAGCCATGAGTGGGTTTCCTGGGTCGAGGGCCAGCCTGTCCACGGGCTCTCGGAGTCCGGAGAGGAAGTGAGCAGCGCTGCAGGCAACGTTCCCAGACACGCGTCCCCCACTCTTTTCCCTGCACTCTGGCAACTCCGGGGCCTGGCCCTCCTTTGATGCCTGTCCCCGGGTCGGAGCGTGCTTTGTTTATCTCTGGAGCTGAGAGCCAGTTTTTGTCAGCAGGGGCCTGGCTGCTTCATGCCGAAGGGGGTAAGAGCTTCCAGCATGAACCTGACAGAGTAGGGGGGATCAAAGGCACCCAGCCACCATCCCTGTTTGAAGTCCCTCCGCGGGTCACTTCAGCAGTCCCTGGCCTCCTGGGAAGTGCACTTCAAAGAGGACGTGCACGGACAGCAGCTGGGATCATCAAAGACCCTCCCAAGGACACGTAGCTCCCAGCCCAACGGGAGAGCCTGGGAGTCGGTGCTCAGATGCCTGGTAAAGAGCCCAAAGGGCCCTCAGGCCGGTTTGTGGCGTCCGGCCAGGCATTTCTCTGGTGTCTGTGCGTCTGTCCCTCAGCGTGTGGCACTTCTACACCAGGCCTGGCAGCCGGACCCAGTCTACAGGGAGAACTGCTGTGTTCTCTGCTCTGGGGTTCCACTGGTGTCGTGTCACTGGTGTCCACGCGTCACAGAAACAGGGGCTCGGACAGGCCAGGCCGAGGCACACATTCCTGGGCCACTGCCCAGTTCCGGCATCGTTTCCACAATCTCTCGCCCAGTGGGCTCTGGAAGGAGGTAGAGGGAACAGTATAGACCTTCCTGGTGGCTCAGGGGCTCCCGTGACTGCCTGGTGACTTAGTTCCACGAGAACATCCTTGTCCGACTGCAGAGTTTTGACGGGCGGCTGACTAGGCGGGGAGAGCGCAGGCTGGCGTAAAGTCGGGCACAGCTGGGCTTGGATCCCATTCCTGCTGTTGGTTAGCTGTGAGAAGTTTGTTTCACTGAGCTGCTATTCGCTTGTCTCTAACATAGAAGATAACAACAGGACATGTGTCATGGGACAGTTGTGAAATATACAAGGTGAGATGATGTGTGTGAAGCACTTAGCTCAAGACCCCGGCTACTCAAAGTGTGGTCTAGCCCTGAGTCACCGGCATCGCCTCGGAGCTCGTTAGAGAAGCAGAGTCTCTGGTCCCACCCACTGAATCGAATCTTCATTTAACGATATAGCCAAGTAACTAATGGGCACATTACATTTGAAAAGCGAGAGCTGTAGACAAACTGAACTGCTCTGTGTTGAGTTATGAATGGGCACCTTGAAACAGCCCTGGTGAGGGTACTTCATGAATTGCTGGCTGGTTAAGATACGTGAACAAATAGCTGATTGTGCTGACCACGTTTTCTACAGGCTAGTGTTCTGGAGTGCTGGCTCTCTTCTGAATGTGTGCTGTGTTTGGTTATTTAAAAATAAAAAAGTTGCTCTCCTGTCCACTCTGCTGGGAGACGTTGGGGAGAAGGAAGAGCACGGCCCATCGTGCCCCCCTTTCCCTGGCCGCATGCCCTCCTCGCCCCACCCCCACCGGCCTACTCTGGGGCGGGAGGAAAAAGAGGCCGAGTGGCTCTTCCCTGGAGCTGGTTCCTGCTTCTTGGGGCCATGGCTCTCAGCTGCAGGGGTCTCTTTGGGGTAATAATGTGGACAACTCAGTATTGTTCTGACCTGAAAACTCATTTGTATTTGAACCTGGTGCTGTGGGAGACCATCCAGTGCCAAGGGTGGGGTGGAATTATGGGCCACTCAGAAGCTCCTCGGGCCGGCGGGACCATGTGTAGGACCAGGAAGTCCTTCCAGTTTTCCTAGGCACACCACGGCTGCTCCGGGCCACGGGCCACGTGAGATGAAGCAAGAGTCGACTCTGAAAAGCCTTCAGGAATGCCACACACCCCCCACCACTGCCTAATAGGCACCTTGAACCACTTTAGAATAATTTTATCCTACAAGTTATTATATAACCAGTTTACTTTACACCTCTTTCCCTCAAGAAAAGAACTACACAGTTTGGGGGAGGAGACTTTTTTCCTTTTTTTTAAATTTCCTCAGTGCTTATCAATGTATCAGACATATAATAAGTGCTTGTAAATGCATTTGGTGAAGGAATCAATGAACGCATACAACAATCTTCAGTCAAGAAGGAAATTATCTTCAAGACGGCTTTTCTTGTTTTGTTTTATGTTAAGAACTAACACTGAAAAAGCTGTCTTTCTGTCCCCAGGGCTGCTTCTGGGGAAGGAGAACCATGAACACGCTTCCGCCCCTGTACTGCCGGCCCCGCCTACCACGGCACTGTCCCCCACAGTGTCCGCCACATCGGCCAGCAGCGCCCACGCTAAGACAGGCAGCAAGGACAGCAGCACCCAGACGGACAAGAGCACTGAGCTCTTCTGGCCCAACATGGCCTCCTTGCCCAACCGCGGCAGGCTGGGCGTGACCCCTTCCAACAGCCCGGTCCTGAAACACCCAGCGGCCAAAGGGACAGCAGAGAAGCTGGGTAAGAGGTTCTGCTCTCCCTCTGGCCTGAGAGACAGGGGCTGTCGTTGAGCTGGGGAGGTGGCAGAGCCACCAATGAGCTTTCACTTTATGGGGCGATTTTTTTTATGATTGTGGTTACCCTAGAGCATGTAGGCTGTGTTTGCTCTCACGGGAATAAAATGTGTGTAGACACTCTTAATTTATTACCCTTCAAAGGATCACACGACTTGGAGCGTGCCCTTTTGGTGTGTGCTTGTAGCCAGCCCCTCCCTACAAGGGGCGGAAATAGACGGGCTCTGAGGGGTGTTGCAGAGCCAGTAGCACCCACCAGCCGCGTCAGAGGCACGGGGTACGTGGATGCAGCCTTACTCGTTAAGGATTCAGGGTCGGAAGCGCCTCCCGACTGAGGGGGAGGAGGCAGGTTTAACCACTGAGGAGGGGAGCTCCTGGCACCACCCTCCGGCCAGCACCAATGTCCCTTTAAAACTTGTAAGAGAAGACAGCTGGAGGTAGGACCTTGTGATGAGCACAGAAGCATCTGAGTAAGAATAGACCTGGCTTCATCTTGGGGACTGATCTTAGTCCTGGGGACAGCTCTCTTCAGGAATTCTTTTGAGGGGGTGGGGTTATTGGGGTCATACATTCACTGTTTCAAGGGAGTTCTTTATTTTCATCCTACAAAATAGATATGTATATATATACAGCATTGCCTTTTTTTTTTTCTTTGAGATTCCATTCCTGGAATGCCCTTTTCCGAGAAGGCGGGGGCCGTGTGGAAGTACCTGCTTCGACAGGGCCGGGTCATGTGGCGGCTGGGCCGGGTCACGCGGCCTTTGCCACGCGCCCTGGTGGTGAGCGGTGGGATCTGAAATGGTCCCATTGCAGAGAGACCTGCTAAGACCTGTGTCCTTTCTGGGGAGCGGGCTACTGATGTCCCCTTGTGTTTGGCAGAGAACTCTCCTGGCCACGGAAAGTCACCTGACCACAAGGGCCGCGGCGGCAGCCTGCTGCACAAGCCCGAGTTCCCCGACGGGGAGATGATGGAAGTCCTCATCTGACGCTGGCGTCCCTGTCGAGTTCGGGCACCGACGTTGAGAAGCAAACAAGGAGTGTGGCAGCAAGGGAGCAGAACGATCAGGAAGGTTGTTGATGGACAATCAGGAATGATTGGAACTGATAAAGATGTCAGATTAGTGAGGACACTTTTTATAAATGTTAAAAAATTGGGAGACCTACCTGAGTGAAGATGAAGAGAATGCTATGGGTTTTTATTGCATATGGCGGAAGAGAGACCATGCATGTAGGTTTGGAAACGAGAAATGGGAAATAGAATTTTCACTGTACAGAAAATGTATCTCATGGGGAGGGTCTTTGTACACCCATTTTCTGGTTATAAATGGATAAACCTGAACATGAATCTTCCTTGGAACACCCCCACTCTCCTTGCCGTTGAGCATCTTCTTGTTTCAGAAGAACCTCCTAGAAACCCTGGGAGTCCACGGGGCATCAGTGTGGTATCGCCTTGTGCCCTCCACGGGGCGTCCTGGGAACGTGTGTGTGTGACAGGAGCCGAATGCCGCGGGGCAACGGGGCAGCCGGAACACGCTCCTCACCGGGTTACCCGCCCGGCCTGGGTTTTCAGATTATGGGGCTGCTGAGCTTTGGTGGGCTCGGCCGTGCTTCCTAAACCGAGCGGGAGCTGAGGGTCGTGGGGCTCATCCTTCCCAGCTTCCCTGACTTCACCCCTGTTTTTGCTTCCATTTTCTTTCATTTCACTCTTTCTTTCCCTTCATTGTTTTTTAAACTTTAAAATGAGACATGGCAGAAGAGGTCCAGTATTTGTCAGAGTGGTGTCCGACGTGTCTTGGTGCCCGCTGTGTTCCGCAGGGACAGGTGGGACGCAGCCGGAGGCTGGCTTCCCAGCTGCTCCCTGGGCCACGCCGGGGAGGCTGTGGCGAGCGAGGCCGGAGACCCAGGGCCACTGGAACATCTTGCATTAAGGTCACGGCCCTGCCTTTTTCCTCTCTCACATGAGCTCTTTTGCACGGGGCTGGATACTTCCCCCCACATTGCTCTGTGGGGGTAAGACTTTCAGGACAGCACCCCAGGGGGCTAACAGTGCTGGACTCGGTGGCGCCCAGAACCTCCCCAGGCACCTGGTGCGCTTTCTCGAGCTGTGGTTCTGGAGCGTGTTCCCCACTCTCCCCGCCCCTCACACTGTTCTGGTCGCTGCTGATGAGCACACAGACTTTCGTGACGGTCAGTGCACCTGTGTTCCGTTTTCTCCGTTGTGCACTTGCTTTGGAACCCAACGGGCCAGTTACATATACAGTTTGGTCTGATTTCTCAAGATTTCAGTTTGGGGCAAGTTACCCAAAGTAAGATGAAAATACCACGTCAAAGGTCCAGGGGCGTGTGCCGCAGTCCCAGGGCACGAGGGTTCACGTCCGACCGCCCAGACGAGGGCCTGACAAATCTGGGAGGCGCTGGGTCAGGAAAGAGGAGCGGCGGCCGGGCTGTTAGACGTTTTCGCAGGCTCCTGCCGTCTCGCCTGCTCCAGGCCAGCGGGATGTGTGTGATTCCGGGTCCCTTTCCTCACCTGCCTGAAGGAAAGAAAGAAAAGCCCTGGCTCCTCTGAACGAAGCCTCACCCAGAGGAAGCCTGGGCCTCAGCACTGTCCAGGAGATTTGGCTTCGGGAGCTTAGTTTAGGGCTGGTCTTCGGAGTGTAACCTGGGTGGAGTCAGAGCCTCCCCAAACTGAGGGGTTTGAAGGATGACAGAAAGTGCCAAAGGGGGAGGGTTAAAACTAGACCTTTGCCCATGGGGCCTCTGCTGTGAGGAAGGAGGCTGGAACTGACTCTCCTAAGCGGCTCTGCTGGGCACTGAGCCGCGTGCTCCATTCCAGTCACCTCCTCTGGCCCCGGGCTGAATGTCGTTGAGTGTTGTGCCACCTGGGGAAGAGGAGCAGTTCTGGGGCGAGCAGCTCGCCCGATGCCCTGGGGTGTGGGGACAGAGAGGGCACGAGGCTCCACTAGTGAGGAAAAGGCTGCTGTGCATGGGATGGAGGGTCTCCATTCTAGTCTCTGCTCTCGTCACTTTCTGTGGGTGATGTGGTTCAGTAGATGGCACCCCCACTGATGCTGCGATGCACCAAGAAGGAAAGTACCAGAGGTAGGAGGGCAAGTTGCCTCTGCCAGCCCCACCCTCGCCCATGCCTGGGCCACCCCAAACGTGGTCTGTCTCCCCTAGAGGTAGGTGGGTGGGAGGGAGAGCTGCAGCCCGGCTTCCCCCAGACCTCGCCTCCCTGCTCCAGCTCCCCTCAGGGTCACCCTCCAGCACAGGGTGGCAGGTGCCTCCGTCCCCCTGGGTTGCCAGGTGTGTTCATTGTCAGCAAGCACGGACCTCGCCGTGTCTCCGCTGTGCTATGGCCTTTGCCAATCTCTTTTTTCTTCCAACCTGCCAAGACTCTTCTATAAGAGAGAGGATCTATAGCTTTAGAGCCTCTTCTACAATGGGAGATTTCCTGCCACACCAGGGCCCCTAACACTTCACGTTTGTCATTTTCTTGCTTACGTGTAGGAAAACGGGGTTGCCAGTCCTGAGCACCCGCTGTGCATTCTGGGCAGTTTACAACAGGTGATCTCATTTGATTTTCAGAAGAAATAATGGCAGCTCTAGTTTTTAGTGCTGACTGTGTGGGAAGCACCTTTTAATGAGTCCTCCAGACACGTGGAAGCTGAGGCAAGTTTATTCTCCTGTTTCATGGGAGGAAACTGGGGCTCAGGGAGCAAGTCCCTTCCTAGAGTCCTGCAGCCAGGAGGAGCCGGGGTCTGAACCACAGGTTAGGAGGGGAGCTGGGCTGCCTCTGTTGGGGGGGGGTGGATAATAACTGTCTGTCAGCGCCACGCTCAGCCCACTCTCTCCCCGGTCTGTGATGTGCATGTGTGCACACACAAGTGCCCACTCTCAGAGCTAAGAAATAGGAGTAGGCCCAGAGCGCCTCAAATTGCCCACAAACACCAGGCCTGGGTGGAAATCTGTGTTCCGTTATATGCATGGCCACAAAACCACGTAAACAACACTTGTGTGTTGTCCAGAGGCCTGGACTTCTTCTGAAGCTCATGGTGGCGTCTGATTATGGAAGTTGCAGGTCCGGTCAGTGTGAAGGGTAAAGGCTTTGGCTTGGTGAGGAGACAGGTCAGAGTAACTCTGCTTCCTTCTCAGATGTGCTGTCGGCAGCTTCTGTGTGCTGCCTAGGCACTAGGAGGTGTCTCTGGATTCCAGCAACTGATTTCAGTGCCTGTGCATTTTCTTCTGTTTTTCTAGTGCTTCCCAGAGGTTGTCAGCTAAGGATGGTGTTGAGTGCAGCCTGTTCCAAACAGGTGTGCAGGACAGGGCTGCCATGTCCCTCCCAGGGCTCTGTTTGGGGGGCAGAGAGTGCTGGGGCCTCCTCCCTTCAGTCCTGCAGGGCTCGCTCTTTAGAGTTCATGTGTGAACTTTATTGCACGGGGCTTGGAATGGATATGGGAACAATCGCTCCAAATGAGTTGTTAACTCAATTCAGTGGCTGTGCTGCTCAGGGAAGAGGCTGTCTGGACACCCCCTGCAGAGAAGCCTCAGTGCTATTTGTTCAGCCACCTGTACCACCTGTATCCGCAGGAGGCAGTGGCTGAGGGGCTGAGGGTTCTCCACTGCAGCAGCCCGCTGAGTCCCAGACACTGGCTTGAACACAGGTGTCCGGTGAGGCTGGGCTCCCAGGAGAGAAGATTAGACTGGGATTTAGAAAGTTCCCAGGCAGAGAGCTCGTGCACATCCTGAGGGGAGCTATGCGGGTCAAAGCGGTGTGCTTTCCAAAACCAAAGCCCTGCTCTGAGCCGGCGTGGGTGCCAGAGGCGCGTGTTCCTGTGCACTCCCAACGGCCTTGCACTCCTGAGCAAGGGAGCACCGTGCTCACGGTGAGCAGACACCCAGCAGCGGCGCTAAATGGTGGAGGCTTTAAGTAGCCAGAGAGCATCCAGCCCACAGTTGGCTTCTTCACACCCCTAAACCTGAGGCAGCCTTGGTATACGCTCGATGAGTGCTGGCCTTCGTGTGTCCTCTGGTTAACGCATCAGGGCTTCTAAAACGTCTTCACTCAGCGTGAGCAGGGTTGAACGGGTTTGCCTCTCGTGTGTGGCTCCATGGGAGATGGGCAGAGTAATTAAGAAGTTACCAGAAGCTGATCATCTGGGAGCATGTAAAGGGCAGCATTTCAGTAAACGGATCTCTTCTGGAACTGATTAATGAGCAGTTTTTGTCTCGTCCCTGAAGTAGCACACCCTTTTCTTGTTTAGTGCTTTAATGGTGTATAAAGATATGTCCGTGTAGGTGCACACCTGTGAGGTGGGGCTGTGAGGCTGTGTGTGGAGCAGCTGTTCCGAACACCCAGGAGATCCGCGTGCTTCACCTCACCTGGCCCCCTCAGGCGGGGACCCCAGGGAGACTCCACACCGATCGATCACTGCGAGGCTGCCCAGGTGCAACGTTCTGCAAACGCCTCTGTTGGCAGGGACTTGGGAGCCTCGAGTGTGCATTTGATGATTCTTAGACATGAGAAATCTTTGTCCTTGAAGCTGGACTTTAGTTTGGAAATAATCCCAAGTCATTCTCTCAGTTGGCTAAATAAAGGTGTGTGATTGAGGTCACCCCATTTTAGCTTAAAAACCCCCAAATCCCTGAGGTGTTCCTTGGAGTGAGTCTTTGCAGTCCAGGAGCCTCTTGAAGTGACCGCTTCTAAGGGGGACAGTCTTCATTAGTACGTGTAACTTCTAGTGGATTCACTTTAAAAATCTGTCCTCGCGCCATGTCTTATATGTGTTCACATCTCCGCACACGCCCGGGTGTAAGTGTGTACGCACTCGTGCACACCTCCCGCGGGCGCCCTGTGAAGCCGTGCTGTGCGTAGTGCATGTGGTAGTCGTGTTCTGCTCTGAGTGAGGTGTTCGTCATGAAGCGTGGCTTCGTTGCAGAATTCAAATATTGTTCTCAGTATAATGAGGTACATACACGGCATTTTCTTTTATCAACTCCAGAAACTTTGTTGCCCAGTGGTGTGTTTACATGTGGTTTTGCCCAGGATTCTGTTCACATGTAGACACCTGTGAGTATTTATTACAAAACAGAATCTAAGCAGTTTGCCCGCAGTGGTTTCCTTTGCGTTACGGTGTTTTTCCCCTTTGAGGAGTGAGCATGGAACCTCCTCCTCCTCCACGAGGCACTTACAGAGTCTGTGCGATTCCAGGAATGAGGGCAGGTGCCTGCAGCGGCCTCGGCCAGAACCCGACGGCACCCGTGCCGCCGCGCCCGGGCCTGTGGTACGTGTCGCTGTGCTTGGTGGCCGCTGCTGTGTGCTCTGTGGCGGACTCTGGTGTC